ATTAATTATTTATTATAATTGTTAATAATAATATTAATAAATAATTAAAGAACAATTTAATAGAAAATAGAAATTGACAATGAACAGTATATAATAATATTTATTATTATTTTATATTTATATTTATTATTATTAATTATTATTAAACAAAAATTTGACAATGAAAAAATATATTGTTAAACAGATTTTATTATTATGATTTAGTATTATTGTAAATATTACAATAATAATAATAATAATAATAATAATAAGACAGGTAGATAAATAGATGCTTTTTAAAATATGCACATACTACATTTATTATTTTTAAATAGGTTTAAGCACTTATATTATTTAGTATTTAATTGTATAGTCTTTAGTCACTAGGTGAAACAAAACATAAATCACATTTTCAGGCTTTAGAGTAAATTATTTAATCATGCACATTTATTTTTATTTAATTATGAGCTTTTTTTAACCAAAAACATAAATAGTAACTCTAGAAATCTATCAGCCACATGTGATTATAGTAACCAACAACAGTCCATTCATCTAATCAGTTTCCGCTGGACAAAATCAAGCCCCATATGTCATTCTTTTCCAAAATTGAAAAACCATTACACTCAGTTTTATGTCATAACAGGGAAGAGGGGACGATTTTTAGGACGAATTTTCTGTTCACATGCTGCTCATCCTAAAATCTAGGCTCCTACTTTGCACAAACAAAATTACAAACTTTTCGCTGTTGATTTTGCTGTGAAATATGACCTGAACGTTTCTTTTTGCGTCTAGAAAGCCCAATTACTGCAATAAATAACCAAACGCCACTAATCATAGCTGATGATTAACGTGCAATAGCATCGTCTCATCTGCAACTTCCCATTTAGTGCTGCTCTTATTGCTTATGTTTGCACAGAAGCGTCTGTCAATGACATGAGTGCACGTACAGAACAAGCAGCGTTTACTCTCAGTGTCCGTGCGCATGGCAGCACAGCGAGAGACCACATCCCAGAGGAAACAACAGCTTAAATTTATGCACTTTTGGATCTCGTACAAAGCACTCAAGTAAGGTTTCACAAAAGTACACCTAAACAGAAATTACAGCTGTTATAAAGAAAGTGAGTGCACTGATTTAACGCTCACTTGTTCTCTGATGTCTACATGGAAGACATGAGGCTTGGGTGAGTTCAGAAATTCCACAGAACTGGTTTATATACTCGTTTATAACCCTGCAAAAATTATCTGTTAATTAAGAGCTTCCGTATTTTGGGATTTCCGTTTAATTACAGTTGTGAATTGCATTATGGGATGGTGACTAACCGGCCACTTTATTAGGTACACCTTCCTTGTACTGTAAACCCTAGAAATGGTTGTGCGTAAAAATTCCAGTAGCTCAGCAGTTTCTGAAATACTCAGACCAGCCTGTATGGCACCAATAACCATGCCACGTTTAAAGTCACTTAAATCCCCTTTCTTCCCCATTCTGATGCTTGGTTTGAACTGCAGCAGATCGTCTTCACCCTGTGTACACTGCATTAAATGCATTGAGTTGCTGCCATGTGATTGGCTGACTAGAAATTTGCATTAATGAGCAGTTGGACAGGTGTACCAAATAAAGTGGGTGGTAAGTAATGTATGTATGTATGTAAATATATATATGTATATATATATATATATATATATATATATATATATATATATATATATATATATATATATATATATATATATATATATATATATACTATATATATATATAGTATATATATACTATATATATATATATATATACTTTTTAACCATAAAAGCAGCTTTTATCCCAAAGGTTGGAACTTAATTGAGCAACATAGAAGTCCACTACATAAAAAAAACATTTTAAGACATGAAAATCTTGGATCACAAGTAAAATATCATGTTATTTTATCATGGATGGAAAAAAAAAAGACAATTCTGCCATCATTTACTCGTCCTCTGCCAGTTTCTTTCGTCTCTTAAACAAAAGAAGACAAAATAAAGTCATTGACTTCAATGGTAGTCGTTTCCCTCACTACAGACATCACGATATCCCCATTCTTCACAATATCTTGTTTTGTGTTCGACAGATGACAAAAATTCAAGTTTCAAATCAGTGCATGATGCAGAAATGTCCATTTTTGGTTAAATTGTCCCTTTAAAACCGAGTGATACACAAACAGCAGCAAAACTATCGTTGAAACACACTGAACATTAAAAGACTCTAATTAGCATTAAGACTGTATTTAAGTCTGATTGCTTGTAAATTCACCTGTTGAAGTTGGCGAGTCCTCCCGGGCCGTCCAGCCTCATGAAGTTGTGCCGCAGGTTGAGGTGTGTGATGTCCTGGCAGTAGAACAGATACTCGGGCACTTCCTCCAGACTGTAGCAGGACAAATCCACAAGACTTATAGTCTGAGACACCACCTGCATGACAATGAGAGACTACCATTAATCACTATTCACTGCATAAATGCATATATGTACATATGATGCTATATTAGTGGTATCTGTCATTTACAGCGATTTCACCATTTCAGTTTTGACAAATAATAAAACTGACTAAACAAAAAAAAAATTATAGCCTTAACAGGAATAACAAAGAGAGTTGTTATTGGAAAAATCAATGGCAGAGAGGTGGATAAGTTTATACAGTAGGAAATCTTATGGGTGCACTGATCTGAAAACAGAAACGCTTGTAATAAAACGCATTTTATGAAATACTATAAAGTAGTATTATAAGACTTATCAAATTTAATTCATTAACTTACTTTTTTTAAAACACAAGCCAATAAAATAAGCACATTTTATTTATGAGTTGAGATGCGTCACTTAACCAGTGTTGCCATGGCAGCACAGTACCACTACTTTAAGCAGCAGGAACAAGTAAACTACACGAGAACAGCCCACTGGCACGTTTTTTGAGCAGATTTTGTGGTGTCATGCATGGGCAAGGCAAGGCAAGTTTATTTATAAAGCACATTTCATACACAGTGGCAATACAAAGTGCTTTCCATAAACAAGAATAAAAGAAACAAGTATAAGAGAAATAAAAACAAATAATAAAAATGATAAGAAAAGACAACAACATAAAAACAGATAAAACGTGATATAAGAGAATAAAAAAGAAGAGAAAAACATAGTAGTGCAATCTGACGTAGCACAGTATTCATTCAGTAAAGGCATAGATAATTATACAAGTGCAAAAGCTAAACAGCACAAGCCATTGAAATGAATGGGTTTCATAGCACAGCACTTTCTGCGTCCGGTGTGGAAGCTGCTTCATTCTGTGTGGTGACTATGGAAAGAGAGTGAAAACTGCGTGCTAAATATGGCAGAGCACTGTGGTGTAGCATCAACTTTTATTCCGCTCATATTTTCAATCATTGTTTTCTTTCAACAAAAATCACAAACACTATTTGCAGCCGATATATGGCCGGATATTTGGTGCATCCATAGTTTTTTAATGAATAAAAGAGTGGAACAATAAACTGCATCATAGGATGTTGATCTCTGCTCTGACAACATTGATGGTAAAAAGTTCACATTTTGACATTTTGTGTAGTTTGAAACATAGCAATGCTATTTTATTTATTTCTATATATTTTATTTCTTATACAACATATTGTTTCAGACTAATAAAATGACAATAAAACCCCCTTTGTTATGTTATTATTAACATCAAATTCTGCTGGAGCAGAGATGCAATTTGTAACTGTAATAAACAGAAAACATCAAAGAATCACAAGCCATGAACTACTGACAAATAACAGATATTTTAATTACATTATATGACATGTTTGCATTACATGCACACGTGATCATTTGCATATCAGCAATAATTTGGATGAGTTTGGGTTACTAATAAGGGTGTCATGATCCTCCAAATCCTCGATTCGATTACATTTTTGATTCTAAAGGCACAATTCGATTCGATTTTTGATTATGAATAATTAATTAATTAATGACCAATTCATTATTTGTAGCCTACCGTTTAAACTACCTGACCTGCATGGTCTTTGTTTTACCCATAAACAAATCATACAGTAAATGAATAAAGGCAAGATACACACATAATTACCACCTGTCAATCACTTTTTCTGCGGGACTCGTGAATAGGCAGTGATCCGTGTCGTTATAATGGTGTCGGTAAAAAAGACGCACAACCAACAGGAACCAGCCAACAGTATCTGAGGTGTTCGCTAAAATGACTAAGTACAAGCGAGTGAAAGATTGAAGCAGT